ACACATTCGTATTTGGTTTACCAACTGGATAATGTTTTCAATTAGGTGGTATTGCAAAATGGCTGCCCAGTTGTCTCCGTCAATCAGAATTAAGATGTATTTCGAGTGTAGGAAATGTGTACGATTGCAGGGTTTGAAATGTGGCATGTACAGTATAGCAAGAACATAGCGGTACTGAGTGTCTGTGAAAAACAAAAGACAAGATAATAAATTCCGTTGAAACAGTTACACACTACCTCCTGATTTTCTCATTTTGTGCGTCACATTTGCTCTGTGTACACAACCGAAATCATCATAGGATCGAATAGAATTCTCCGTAATTTTCATGTGCCCAGTAGTCAAGTTTGTATTGTTTCTAACAGATGGAACCAGATGTAATGTCTATACCAGGCTCACAAAGATGAGTTGCGCAATATCGTGTATAGAAAAAATGAAAAAAAACCGATGTGATCAGCTGCCCGGTGGCCGAGTGGTTTGTATGCTTGCGTTCGACCTGTGGGGTCCCGGGTTCGATCCCCAGTTGAGTTAATGGATTGCCAGAGCAAATGAAATGCTGAAAGTTTTCGACAAATCGACTGCACAATGCTTCCAAGCTCTTCAATTCACGCACTGCCTGTTCTGTACACGCCAGAGTTCACCGGTTAATCGAGTCAAATCCGTCTTTGGTCTCATATAAAATAAAAAATGAGTTCAACTAAAATTTGCTAAGATTTGATGAACATAGTTTCCGATGGTGTAAATAACTCCACTTACTTAGTTCGTCTGGGGGAGGTAAAGTATAGAATCGCTTAGCAACACACATGTCAGCCAATTTCGGACTATTATCACAAACTGTAAATGTTCCTTCAACTCTACTAACTAGACCCCCAACACACACCAACCCCGGAGGGATGAACCGAAATGGCCGAGCACAAAAACCCATTTGCTTCAAAATATTGACCTATCTGATCCGAACTGGTCCGCGGGCGCTTACGGAACAGAAAGTAGCTGATAAACGTGTCGTTCAGAAGTGATTCTGTCCAGTTTTCATAGAACAACGTCAAGTGTTAACACGTTTGCGATAACTTTGAAACGAGAAGAGTATGCACCTAAATATAGGTTTATCCGTATGATGAATATATCCAGATGGTTTGAACTGAATTCTTTCGTTCACTCTGATAAATATTGTTTGAGAAGTCAAATTGGCAAGCAAGCTCTTTTTCGGTGTCTCATTTACCAGCCAAATCATTCGAAAACAATTGTTCGCCTTCGGACTTGTGTTCTGATGTTACAAATATAGTACTCTTCTATAAGTCAAAAAATCGCATAATTCAAGGAAACAGAAGAAGAGAAAAAAACTTGAATAATGTCTGTGTGCGTGTGCGTGTGTAGGGATACTATGGAGAATACAGCAAAGGGTGTGTGAGAGTTTAAATCACATTGCAAATGTCATTTGTACTGTCAAAACAAATATTGTCTGGTCCATCGAAGAAAGTAGATGAATTCACTTTTCTTTCTTCTAAGTCCGTAAGCAACAACTGAGCCGATTAGGACGGGTTCATGTCGATTATTCATCCGACCAATCGATTAGGAATTCAAAATTTAACGACTCAATGAATTTTAGATGTGGGTGCGTGAGTCTCACGGAGGTGAGTTGAGGGAAGCCCGGGGCAGAGAGGGGTGGGGTGGCAGAGGAAAAGCAAACTAAGAATGAGGCAAACACCGAAAATGAAAATGAATTTCACTCCCTGATCATAACCGCCTCTCCCCTTCCCCCCGTCAGACACATATCTTTCCTCTTCGACTGAATTTCACATCTCATAACAATCTGATCCTACGCATCGTATCGTACACCGTTGTGACTTACCCTCGATCGTGGCGTACTCGGAAATGCGCTCGTAGTTTAGCACAGCCGCATTGCGCAGACAAATTCGGATCGCATTACGTACAATATCGGCTGAAGCCGGTTCCCCACTGTCTTTGGTTAAAACCTTTTAATGTGACAAGGGAACATAGAAACGGGTTTTGGTGAGATGTGTCGGCGAATCATCGAAGAACGAATAGCAGATCAAAGAGAAATATGTCAATAGGAAACGAGAGGAGGCGGATAATTTTTATGAGAAAATTCAGTGTTTCTGTGTTTCTGTGAAGCCTGTAACCGTGATTGTAGTTGAGGACAACTGATCCCCTTTAAACCGTTGTACCCATGCGTCTCACATGCCTCGGTGTAGCGAGGCTGGAAGCTCCCGCATTTGTGGGCAGCAGCACCAAAAGCCATAGCAAACAATGACACTCTATTGCAAAAGATTCTGGGGATGCAAAAATGTCAAAGCGTGTTGATATTCGCTTGAACTAAGGAATACTGTGTGTGGATTATCTCAATGGGTCTTATTATAATAGGTATACTCATAACCTGCACTCGATTCCAGTGGCAGTAATGTGGTTCAATAAATTTATTTTTAGGTTTCATAAACAGGTCTGTTTCTCAGTACAACTGGTGGGTGACTGATATCAACACATTTAGTGATCAGTTTTATCTAAATAAATTGGAAATCAAGCAGCTTGTATTACGACACAAATCCAGTTTAGACTCGAAAAAGTCCTAAAGAACAAGGGCAGACCAATCAACTATTAGTGTACACAAACTTTACATCTTAATTATTACCAATGTTAATTTGTTTTAACTAAAAACTATTCTATTCTCATTAGTTACCTCAACTCATTATGGTCTAGGTCAACCACTACTGAGGAAATGGGAGTGTCCGCACCATTCTGAACCATTCCATCTGCTGTGTATAAACGATTCAGGAAAATCACGGATATAAAGACTCTCCAAGAATTGTTTATTATTGGTTTGAAAAAAATTTACTTCAGTATAAATGCTGTTGCCCATACGAACCGATGAGTGTGTCACATGGACCTGTTGCTTTAGTTTGGATTAGACCTGTAGATTCACCAGCGCCACTGCTTGCGACACCCAGCCATATCACTCAGTGTCTCTAGCCTCACACCAGGTCCTCGTTTAGCCACCCTTGATTTTTTTCTAACCGCTACCTGCCTCGACAAACATCGCTCGCCGTGGCAACCGATCTGGTGACATGCGTAACACATGTCTCAACCAACGTAATCTATGGACGTCAACTACTTGCTCTAGTGGATGACGACGACTGCCTAAGACTCTACGTCTAACCTCAGCATTGCTCGCCCAGTTCTCCCACCAGACTCGTGCAATGCAACGTAGGAAGTGGTGTTCGAACACTAAAAATCTATTTTTATCCTGTTCCCGTAGTGGCCAAGTCTCTGCACCGTAAAGCAGCACTGGCCGAACTGCTGTAGCATATACTTAATTCTTCACTGAAAGCCAGATATCACGACGGCGCCACATATGTCTCAAGTTGGAGAATGCCAACCGAGCCTTTTGTACGCGATGAGATTGGGTTGGTCCATACACCAACCTCACCCTGATTGCGGAAGTAGACAAATTTTGCTATCTGGGCAGCTTTATCTCACCTGGCGGACCGAATGCATACCCCAGTGCTCAGCCGTCATGGCTTATAACCGTACGCCTTAACTCGGTACTGTTTGTCCCGCCAGACTCGCGCAATGCCCCGTGTATATTACTATTCGAATGCCGACAGTCTGTCTTCATTCTGCCCCCGCAACAATCAAGACTGTGAACGAAAAGTGGCATCTGTCACTCAACCCTTCACTGACAGCCAGGTGTCACGGCGGAGCCCTAGGTCTCGTAAAATAGGCAAACGCAAGCCGACCGATCAGTATGCCTGCTGAAACTTTATCTATAAGGCGTCCATCAGGTGAGATACAGTTGCTCAACTAGTAAGATTAGTCTGCGTTCTCCCAAGTTGGGGCAAGGCCGGGACCTGTACCAATCCAGTACTATAACTAGAATTTTACAACATACGCGAAACGTAGGCACACTAACATTAAAAATACGTAGGCTTATAGCTTAGTGGTACAACAGTATCGGCAGATTACAGACCGGACAACTTGTCACGCCACCATCCACGGATGAGGACTGACCCGTATCTATAGAATCATGCCCATTAGGAAGTTGCAGTGCTGTGATTCAGGTTAACTGCACTGTGGTTCTCGGCATAGGACCAATCTACTTCCAAACAAATCGGTATAATGACCGACAAACACAGACACACACACACACCATTCTTTCGGAACTCGGCCACATTTTCATACAAATCCCACAGGTTTTCTCAACCAACAAACTAATATTCACCACTCATTAGTAAAATTAGACGAAGACAACTCCTCTGGAATAGATTTTTATCAACCTTTCTAAATAATTTATCGCCCGATCTGGTCATTTGTAAGCTGAAAAGGTGGGCTCGAATCTGAGGTGGTAGATAGGAGAGTAGTCGAATGAATTGTCCATCTATGTATAACACAGTGTGCACCAGATTTCAGAGTTTACACTATTTTCTCTCTCTCTCGCGCGCGCGTTTTAGGTTTAAGTTTCGTTCTCCCAAGACGACCAGAGAGATAGCATGCGCGCGCGAAAGAGAGAGAAAGAGACTAAAATAGACTGCTTGATTCCAACTTGCTGTGGCGACGTTTGGTATGGATGTCACTAGAGTCACACTTTTATCCTCCCACACAGCTACAGGTGGGTGATAGGAATTTGTCAGTCGGTGAATTGACATGCCGGACACGACGCGGTTGTTCAATCAATCTTGTAACTGCACTTTTTCACGCCGCGGTGACATCCGTGTAGGCGCAAACACGAATCTGTAAAGCATAATTTTGATAAATCACTCGGCATCGTTCGCGTGAAACAATGAGTGATTAATTTCATACATTTAGTAAAAATCCCAATGTTTTCCTCATAGAATTTCTACTAATTCTAACAGTCACGTTTTCCTAACGCGACAACCCACCCCATTCTATACTGCAAACAACATAGACCACATTTTCAATGGATAGAGAACGATGACAAACTGTTGCAGTCATCCGTTTTTCAGTGATTAAGACTGCGCATATTGGCAGCAGTAGCGTGGCGCGGAGATCGTCGTAATGTGCACGGAAAACAAGCTCCAAGTGCATACTGAATCTGTCTTCAGGGAATCTATCTTGCACAACCAAGTGCAAACTGCAAGGCAGTGAAGGGGTGAAGGGGTCAATGACTTTAAAAGACCAGTCACATCGACCTTTGTCACGACACCGTAATTGGGCGTATGCGGCTTTTAAACAGGAGTCAGGTGACCAGCCTGAAATCCACCACATTCTGGTAGTGCCACCGCTGTTTGTTCGGGACTAGTTATTTATTAACGGTATGCCACAACTGATTCACAGCTAACCTTCGGTGAAGGTATCCCCCTATCCACAACCCGGGAACGCGCCTGGTAGCATTCAGCTCTGCTTTATCCGAGGGTATCCAGGTGAGAGCAAACAACGAGGTGAAAAGAGAGCGTAATCACAATGTGCACATTCACAAAAACAGTCAGGTCCCGCACGGGAACGGTCCTGATCGTGAACCAATCACACGAACAGTGCCCAAGTGCTGATTATCGGCGCGGAACGACGGAGAAAATCATGCTCTTATACGTAAGCCCATTTGCAGTCAAACACCTATGACATTGGACCGAGCAACACGTACACAACACCAAATCTATAGGCGATCTATCTGTCTCCGTAGAATTGTGACTGAATCACTACAATGAGTCGTATACCGTCGGCCGTATATTCTTATGGAATTCACCGGTTGTAGACAAATATCGGCGAATCTATAATCTCATAAACCCAGTTCCCTTTAGGAATTTCATAATAGCGAGAGCAAGCACCATCACAGAATAGGTTGAATTCAACGGTTTGGCGTTATCTCTTCAGCTGTGTGCACAAACCTGCGCGTGAAAGTTCGATCAGGACAATGATAAATCTTTAAACTGTTGTTTGGCAGATTTGAATTGTTGTTATCGACATACAAATCCTTAAACATCAAAAACAGTCGACTGGGCAAAATCAGTGCGAACGTCAGAGGGCATCAGTCACAGTCGGATTGAACCGAGGGAAAGGGTGGGGAAACATGCTCGGAACTACGGTGACAGCCCTACCATGGCAGGATGAAGCTGGTCACAGAGTCTAATTGTTTGCAGTGGTCTGGTTTGTGACACCGAATGACTACGGCCTCAGCAAACTGTAACAACCGCCCAGTTTTTTCTGTCGGTTTAACACTCGGTGTGGTTACTTTAGATCGATGCAAAGTTTGCAGTCCAATATACGGCGGGTAATAGAATCGTCGAGTCATTGAGCGCTAAATTTTTCGGGACGTGTTCTGACATCCAAGCGACCAAGCGTCTCTCAGTTCTTCCGATATATAGTTGCTACCGCAAGTGCATTGAACTACGTAAATACACCAGGAGTTAACTTGAGAGGTCAGCTTGTCCAAGTTGGATTCAGTGATTTATGGAGTATAACTAGTGAGGTGGCGTTGTACGTTCTTGAAAGATCTGGTTTCCGTCGACTTTGTGATAAATTCTCATTATGATCACCTTCTCAAGGGTAATGTACTGAGAACGTTTTTCTTTGGTACGTCGTTTCTCCTCGTTCTGGTCTTCTGTGTTTTAACAGTGAAACATGAAATGAAATTCAACCTGTTCTGTGATGATGCTAGTTCTCGTTCTTATGAGAATCGGTGGTCTGTGCGTTCCGCTTCTCTTGTAGCACGGTGTGGTCAATTTGTGCAAGCAAGTGTTGTCATCAGTGACCGCGCAGTCATGTCCCTTT